GGTTAAAGTATTTGATGAATAAGAAAACTTACTATCAAGGAATAAGTACTAGATGATTTTTTTAATTTGTAAATGTCTCATCGTTAGGAGGATTGAATATAACCTTCTTGCTAAAATAATCTACGGTGGCGTGATACGTCGCTAGCCAATTCATTCCTAAAGTTATATCAAAGTCCCCCATGTCTAATTATATTAGGTCCACACTCAATTTTCTATCTGCTATCTCTACAACATAAACCTTGTAGACAACTTCTCCCAATAGTGTCATACTCTCAACAGTAGACACAAAGAACATAGAATCAAGTTTATCAGGTAATATATTAAATTTGGATACAAAAACAGGTGAAACAAATGAATGCAATGCACCAGTGTCAATCAAAACATGAGCAAGATAGTTACAGATAGTGTACATACCCTGTATTGCGTTCGGATTGGATTCAGTATCCTACTGGGTGAGATTGTAAGCCTTGTCCTGGATAGAAGGTCTGCCCTGATTCTTGTTCCTTGGGCACTCTCTCGCATAATGTTGGGCACTACCATATATGCGACAGGTGTTGTTAAGGCGGTAGTAGGGTCGATCCCCATGATCCCTGCCGCAATGATGACAGATCTTACCACGTCCTACCACTGGAGCCTGAGGGGGAGCTTGGATCACTGGCCTGGGCCTCTTGTTCTGTTGGACAGACACAGTATGTGCTGGTCTGCGGGGTGGAGCTGAGGGTCTGAGGTTCCCTGTTGCCTGAGGGAGGGTGTGGAAGCTCCTCTCCACCAGCTGTGCCTTGGCCAGAATGGCTGAATAGGTCCTGAGCTCCAGCACGAACAAATGTTGCCTGATCTCTAGGCAGAGGCCCCACTGGAACCTTCTAGCCTTCCTGCCCTCATCCAGTAACGTCCCAGGGGAGTATTGGCCTAACTCCAGGAACTTACGAACATATTCTGACACAGTCATGTTCCCCTAGACCAAGTGGACGAACTCCATCTCCTTCAGATGTCGGAGATACTCTAGGAGGTACTCTGTATGAAAGTAGGAACTGTTCCTAAGTAACTGGAACATGCAGGGTGGTCTATTTGAGTTCCCACCAGCGGTCTACTTCTCCCACTAGCATGTAGGTAGCAAGGGTGACCTTCTGCTCAGAAGTCAACTTTAGGGTCTTGAAGGCCTTCTCTATCTCTGCCAACCAGTACTCGACATCTTCAAAAGAGGATCCCCTTGCAAAAGTGGATGGGTTTAGTCCCTTATACCTCTCTATGTAGCCTGGGTCAATCGTGGGAGAAACTGGGTCATGTGAAAAAGGGACCGGGCCAGGTTGAGGATAGACTGGGGGGCCCTGTGGTGGTACTTGCTAATATGGTGGAGGCACCAGATTGTACTATGACGGTGCTGGGTACTGTGGCTGAGGCACCGGATCATACTGCGATGGTGCTGGGTGGTATTATAGAGGAGCAGGGTCGTACTGGGGTAGCTCGGGATCCTCTCGCTGCAGTGGTGGCTCAACCTGTGGTAGCGGGGGAGGGTCAGGTAGCTCCCTCATCTCCTCTCAGCCCTACTGGGCAGCAATGAGTCTCTCTAGCATCTCAAATATCTTGTCAACATCTTTCATAAGTGAACCATCCTGGGCTGCTCGTTTTAGTGGAGGTCTTCTTTTTCTTATCTCTATGTACCTGCATTTCACAAGGAATGGTTAAGTGATGATTCATTAGTTTGGTGTTTCTCTAAGTATTATTGTATAAGGGACGGGTCTGAGGAACGTGACTCTTATACCAAACTGTAACGCCTCCAAAAATCCAAAAGAAAATCTATAATAATTTAAGTGCGGAAGCGAAATAAAAAGTTAAGGTTTAAATCCCTTACACAATAACTTAAAAGTACTAAACAAATATCATGGAATGAATTTTGTAAAAGAAATACGAGAAATGAAAAAAGCAAAATAAAATATAAAGTATCTAGCATCTACTCGCAGTCTTCTTGCGGATCGGGTTCGGGAATTATGTCCTCTTGATATGAAATAGTTAAATAAAGGAATGAGATACACTAGCCCAGTAAGGACAT